GTTAAACATTGTGATTTCAACTGCAGCCATAGCTTAACTGGGTTCTATGCCGATTTGCGCTCCCCAGATCAACCCCGCTGACGGGTGATTGCTGTGGCAAAAAGATCGATAGAAATAGCTGAGAGACGTGCGAAACAAAGGACCCGCATGGTGTGGTGGTGAACGCGTTACTCCCCGGAAAGGATAATATCGCGTTCGTTCCCCACCATAGACACCTGCGGTCCAGAGTTTTGCAAATATCTCAGCAACGTTGTGGTAGTAATATCTATAGTTCTAGAAGAGGAAGGAGCGTTTCTTCTAAAAATAGTGAGTGAATGCAAAGTTGTCGAAACGAACGTATTCAGGAATCCGAGCACAAAATTATCAAATGAGCTAACTACTTTTGCAAACACCTAAGGCTGTTGACCACATAAAAATTGTCTACAAAAACTCCTTTCATGTGTCTGATGTTTCCTAAAGGGATGTACCTGCTCGTGATTGTGCGTGAAACTCTCGTAGAACAACATACATCTCTGCTGGTCGATCGGAAACGTTCTGCAAAAGGAAGTGCGGTTTGTGAAAGTTGTTACCGTTCAGCCTCGCAATGCTTCACTCGATCACGACTTTCAAGTTGACCCATGTAAAGGTTTATTCGTATTTTTACAGAACTTTCAAAAAAAGTAACTAAATTTATTTAATATTAAACAAAACCATTGAGATCAGAACATATTTGGTCGCTTCACCTTTAATAAATGATAAGAAATTAGGCGTTTTCTATTCACCAGAATCGTAAAGCTCATGTCAAGCAAAGGAATTTTTGGGATTTTACTGTATAGTACTGATAAGTAACTATTTGCGCTGGTTGGCGCAGATAGTGCAAATAGCAGATATCTATTGTATCTATCTATCTATATATCTATTTATCTATTACGGAGGATAGCACAGTGGTAGTGATGTCCGTCATTACGAGCATGGTGCTAGTTCGATTCCGCCCCGGGCCAACCAAGCCTCACATTCCTCCGTGGTTAGGAATTTGGTACCGGACTTGTCTGGGAAAAAAATCACTCTCTGCAATCCAGTCGGGTACGCACCAGCTCGGCTTTCCCAGGACACCTCGGAGAATTGATCGGACAAAATTGTACGACATTCAAGATGAAATGGAAGTCCTCAAGCAACAACCGAAGCCACACGTTAAAACTTGGAAGATCTTCGTGGACAATGAATGCGAAGAAAAGAATCGAATGTGAAAAGTGTTAGGGTCAGCACAGTAGACGTGAAGACGGGTCATATAAGAAAATAGCTATTTGTTTAAGATTGGTATTAGAACAAAAATTATACCTCTAATCGTCGAATATCTAATGGGATTCAGGCACAATATATTAATATCTATCTTAAACCCTCTTTCTTGTCATTTTTTTGACCTGTTTTCAAAATGTCTATGTAAATATTTGAGGAGCATAAGGCATACTGGTTAGAAGAGCCCTGCAAAATACAGGTCGTCTTTGGTTCCCTTCCGCCCTCGAACAAGTCAATCCCACCGTCCCTTCGAGATCAGCAAATACGTGTCAAACTTGAAGTCACAATGCAAGCCACATGTGTAATCAACCGACTGTATGGTGCCTGTTGACGTACTAGAATACAATAGCGCATCCTTCAGAAGTTGATTAGGGTCGAATGCTCTGTCCCTTAGTCGTTATTTTCGTATTTTAAATGATGATCGCAATACGAAATTAATGACAATGCCTGACGCTAGTGTGGGCTAAAGCCTTTTTTCAGACCAGGCATAGAGTCCTTTGAGCGTGTGAAATATGCCATAATCACATATATGTCAATTAACAAGAACTTTGAGCACTATACAAGCTTCTATGTAATAAAATCCGCCACCTACCGTAACGTGTTCGAACATGGTCCAGTAAGTTTGATACGGTAGTTGTGCCAGATGCTGCCGTTACTATAGATCTGCAGAAAAATGTTCTTGAATGGACTCGAATGTATGTTTGCCAGTTTGCTGTTCACGAAACAAGCATGTGGATTCCATATTTTTTCCAGAATGGTGCGTCCGTCGACTGACATATTACTAAAAACATGTATGGAACGTGGATAATTTCAGGAATTCAAAATTATGTCGAAGGATAATCTACTTATGATGGGTCTAGCTCTTTGATCAGCGAGCAAAAAGGTAGAAATATGTCGAAAACCTAGACCTGCAAAAAATGCTGACAAAGATTGTGTCGTCTTGTTAACCCAAATAGCACAGTTTAATACCATTTTCAAGATATTGGGTTACTTTCATTGAGAGAAGCTTAAATGGATTTGATTTGGATATCATTTTCCATAAAAATTGAACGACTAAAAAGAATGGATTACACAAACCTTTTGCAAGGATTCAGATGCGAATATGCCAACGCTGGATCGGTCCACCGTTCGGTAACGTAGATGTCAAGCTCGAACTCAGACGTGATCTCGATGATTTTCGATACTTCTTGTACCCAGACCTATAGTACAATAGTACAGACGAAATTGTTTTCAACTGGATCGACATTGGGTGAAAAGGAGCGATTTTATTTCTCGAGTATGTCTAACCCATTAGTTGTGAAATCGGAAAGTTGCTTTGTCTTAACAGAAAGACTCGCTGTTTCGACAAATCGTACTAAAATATTGTATTATCTTGTAGCACTCTACCACATCGTCGTTGCTAGGAGCATTCCTAAGTATTGAACTAAGTACTGTATAAGACGAAGCTCATTCCTGCAGCGTTTTCTCGTAGACAGAGAATTTCGACATTTCTTCCGAGAGCACGGCTAAGAGTAAGCCGACACCAAGAATCGTTACCATTTCGATGCTTAACTAGTTGCGAAGTGGCAAATATAACTTTGGCAAGGGTAAGCTATTAGCTGTGGTGAGCACCTGATAAAATCTCAGAAAACTGCTTTGGTACTCCAAGTAAATTGCAAGTAGCACCTTTTCCTTTTTACAAAAGCTGTATGTTGTTCTGGAAAGTTCTGCCTATTACGTCGAATAAAGAAGAATCAAGTAAAAGGAGAAAAACAGGAAAAAGTACTGATAGAAGCTACAGAAAATAGGAAGAGCATCTGAAACGTTAACAGAGGGGTGGCCACTTATAAAAGGCAAAGTCGACCACCGTTTAGCGTCTAAAAGGAGCAATCACTGTATCCGGAGAGATAATGTGAGAGGTCACTACAGCTTCTGTCCTCAATGGCTGACTTAGCTAAAACATCAGCGCGCAGGTTTCTTCAGGGGTTCTGCGCCAAGTTCAAGAACTCAAAGCTGAACCGTAGGGGGGAACGTTTTATGATCATAAATGACTTCAACCCATACTTATTTTGATTTCTTGATCCGGCAAAAGCTCGTTCGTCATTTCAAATGAACTTTGTACGGGTTGCATCCAGTACTAACCAGGTGAAGAATACGTGTAAACGGTATGTGTGTCCGAGTTTTTCCGCGCACACGGACGAATAGAGTGCCTACCAATGCGTCCTTCACCAATCTATTAAGAAGGCGAAATCCACCAAACTTTGCCATGGATGAATAGATGTTATATTAGCCACCTTTTGTTAGCTTATAAAATTCAAACAGAAAAATTTGTTGTTCACATATCTATGTCCATACTATTTTGTCGCTAGTAGTGTTCGAGATACCGTCGCTTCGTGATTTTGAACATACCGTACCTCAACAGAAACCTGCACATGTCCACCACCTGGCAATTCGAGTTTGTTGTAACCGTTCAATATATGCTCTAAAAAACCTTTTTATTCGACAGGTTAACTAACTGTTAAAAAGAAACCACTGAACACAAACCTATTATTACATCGTCTCCAGTGCATAGACCACTTCCGGCAGGTGCTGTCGAAAAGTTACGTGACGCAGGTTCCGAGCAAATACCGTAAAGACTGTAATTTTATGTACTTTGCAAACAGTTGTTCAAATTGACGCTTAAAACCTAGCGCTTATTTTCTCGCCTCATGCTGTATGACCTAACTAAATTAACGCTCAACATTACAAAAACCTAGACTTTATCTCACCAGTTTTCGTCTTCAAACGCATCCGTGAACTCGGGAAGGTAGACCAGCAGTATACAGAGACATACAAGCTTCATCGTTGCCGCTCTTAGGTCATTTCTTGTTGATTTTCTGCGACTGTACTAATTTATCAAGCTGCCCGTCTCTGAAACCGCACCCATTTTCTGTTGAACAAAGTAATCAGCAATTACACAGGGATAACTCGGATTAGTCATGGTAGTACGCGTGCTGAGTGTTTGAAACAATCAAATAATTAGTGTTTTTATAGAAATCGTTGGCATGACATTCGTAGGGATTGATGGAAAAGATCGGAATCTCCAACATTGGAAATAAAACCATGAGGAGAAAAAGAGACACACGCTAGTGTTCGTTGATCTAACGAGTCCTTGTTTTCAGACCTATGGGGTTCATAGTAATGACAAGAGACAGATTGGAAGTGCTCAAATGGCTCATGTGCAATAAGCCGAAATTGCAATATATGGTAGACGGAGCAAAGTAAAAAATTATTCATTCATTCATCAAAGTCGTCAACAAGTTGAACAGGAATATACGCACTTGACAAACCATGCGTGTTGAGGAATGCCTCGCGTTGGTTAGAGTGAGAACCACATTTCGCCAATGTGTAACGCAGTAGTGGACCAACGTGATCATAAGGCTATAATGATAAGTAGTAAACGAGTGCCTCGTTATCTAGGAGAATGCTCAAGGGTAAATCCCACATAATAACAACGTGCAGAAACTGAAAGAAAAGGATTGTCTAGGTGGGTGATCTAAGAGAAGCCAAGAAGAGGAAAATGAAGGTCCAGTTTTATAGCGAAAGCTGATTGTACGTTTTCTGTCGTCCACAGCTCGGTTATATACGGTTGTTCAATTATAGAGGCGTGTTTAATGAGCACATGGATGAACTAGTGTGGGAATGTACTAAGTGTCATGATAAACAAGCTCACATTCCAGGGCATTTCAGTCTGATTGAAGTAGATAGAAAAGTCTTCAGCAAGCAATGTAGTGGAAAGAGATATAAAAATAAAGACGTTAAAATGCCTGATATAAGTGATTCTTAATAATACGTCTGTGGGTCTCTTGCAAATCCTGCCAAGCGTGTCAGTAGCCAATATAAGAAATACTCCTTTTTAAGCTGGTTCCGTAGCCGTCAAAGTATAAACTGCAAAGGTCATAGACAACTTCTAAAAGACATTTTGGTGGGCTCAACGTTTAAAATGTCAATATTAAATTGTGAGAGAAAAAGTTCGGAACGTGTAATGTTTCCAAGGAGACGTTATGTGGAAAGAGTGGCGAGTGCACATTCCATGAGCGCTTGGCACTCCGATTCCGACTACACATCTTTGCTACAATTCCATTTCTCCGGAATATTTAACCACCACCTTCATGACGAGTGCCTAGGTATCAAACGTCTACGTACAACTATTGTAAAGTCAGCTACATTTTTCTAACCTGCCAAACAGCCACTTTAGCATTACAGAACAGAAGAGCGCCTCCGGCCCTAATATCGATTCAGCTTTTGCCCCAAAAGCTGGCAAATAAGGTGTCAGGCAAGCAGAACAGCTTTTTCAGACGATCCATATTACAGAATCTTTCGCATAGAAATCACCGAATTAATAATAGGGTTTCGCAAAAAAGCACTCTTTGTGGTAAAAAAAAAAAATGTATGAAAGCATAAAAGGATAAAGTTCTCGGCGTTGGTCAGTCCGTAAGGGATACGCCATGCGTTCGACTTCATTAAGCACCGTTGGGGCTGATTGAACGCATATCTGACCTCTACAATGACCCGTGGTGCCTACTGATGTATCGGGCCAATTCTGATATCCTCCGAGACAAGTCTGGTATCAATTCACTCATCCCAAAGGGATGGAGGACTTGGTGTGCCTGCAGCGCGTGGAACGAGCTCATGTGTATTGCACGCCACCTCCAACCCTGTGCTTCAAGCACCCTTTCCCAAAAGTGTACGAAGTAAAAGTACGAGCAGAAAGCGCGTCGAAACAAATTAATATCATTGAATCACCTCCTTGACACATGCATTGAAATCAATCTATGTCGTGATGAGCATGTTAAAGGTTCCGCAAGTTTTTCACACCCCGATGTACTTCCTTCCCAGCGAGATAGAAAGTAAGCAGAAATGAATATCTCTTTGACCACATCTTATTCATGTAGTAGATAAATAACACGTGGAAACGCAGAAACATATGCAGAGCATCGGTGGTCTAAGCGCTATTTGAAAGAGAATGCTGACCAACTGATGGACCAAAACTCGGAACTCATGTGGCACAAGTAGTGCTCCAGCGTTCTGCGATACAAATAAAGCAAGACTGGCATCTCAACCTTGCCGAGGATACTGCATACTACCTTTTAGACACCTAAACAATATCTTCTAAAAACAACCGCCACAAAGATACGACTCCGAGCATAGCAGTTCAAGTGTTCTACAAATGCCTCAAACTGGTGTAGCTGAAACAGATTTTTACACCCAATTGGCAAGTATGGGGAAGCTAGGTAAAAGAATATGCCGACGAATAGTACTAGCAGAAAAAATACCAGAAAATCGGAGTACCAAGTGAAGACACCATTTTTCACACATAACTCCTATATGCCTATATTACACAGAAATGCATTGAGACGACCTAGTTGTGCAGCGTTGTTAGTCTGGAAATGAACCCAGCTGCGTACTCACAAAAAAATATCATGCTATCACACACCTCAAGGTGCACCACCAAAAAAAGGAAAACTGCGTACAATGCAAGTAAGAGAGGAAATTCAGAGTTTCCACACAAATCTGCGAAGGAAAGCCCTATCAAGCGTGCCATTATGTCGAGAATCAGGTGAAGTGGAGATGTGATGCACCGTAATGATAACTGCTAGAAAGTAATCACTAGCAACGTGGTTTTATGGGAAGTGAAGCAGACAGCAAGGCCACTACTAACCCGTAGCGGGATTTCTTCACGAGCACGTTAGAGCGAAAATAAGATGCCATTCGTATTCCTCCAAACAGTGGAACCAGTTGCGGAACTGTCATAACGGTAGGACGGAACTGATGTTTTTGGTGCCAGCTTGAATCACTGCACAGACACTTGAACTCTTTTGCTGCCATATAGCGTGGCAATATCTTAGTTACTAATTAAATTGTTATTACTAATTTACTACTATCACTATTAAAAATCAGCAACTATTTTTCCTGAGATTTAATGGGAGTAGGTTTTAAATTATTCGAGCCGAATAGTTTGGAAGCAACGTCGACCACCACCTAAGTAGAAATGACAGTGAATCAGCAGCCTATAATACACCCACCAATGTGCAAGATAGCGCTGCGTCCTGCCCGTGAAGCCCTTTTCCGAATCCTGCTTCCTAACACATTGATCTCTTTCTTTAAATGTTTTATCGATCCAGTAGAACATAACCGGATATAGAGTTTGTGTATAGCGCCACAGACCTTCGTTCGGAGTTTGTTTCCGGCACAAATCAGTGGCGGTGCTGTATGCGGTGAGATTCGATGGATAAAAGTTACGCATTGATGTGGTGACCACTCGAAACGCAAAGAATCTGATCTCTGCTTTTCACTACTAACGGAAGAACGAAATTACAGATGTTTTATGAACTCCTACATTTCTCGCGAAGGCTGTTTACTGCCACATTGCATAGGATAACGAAGTCCGTTTTTTGGATCGGGAAAGGCATACATATTGATGGTGATTCCCGTAAAGTCTAGGTTTTCCTAACAAGATTACCACTTTTCGAAGAGTGTAAATGAAGCAGAGACGATGCTCAAGAAGATCAATAAGGCAGAAAGAGGGGTGCGGATTGCTCGAAAGAAAACCCAGTTCATCAAAAAACGTTGGTGTGTTGGGACGCAAAAAATTTGTTAGCTTCCAGATCAGATTACAAGCACCATCACCTTTATTCGTCTATTCTTGGGCATGAAAGCATCAACATCACCTGCATCACCTGTCGCCCTATTGGTCGTCGAGCCACTCGCATGGGCGCCAGTTAATCGGAATGTCGCGTTCCATTTCTCACTGTCACGAGAGGAAAAATTTACGGAGAGAAAGGAGGGAAGCACTGGTAGTATTTGAGTCTCATTGAAAACTCATCACAAATAGGAGAACCAAAACTCGGCGCTCATTTCTTCGATTCGACGAACCCCCTCTCGCTCTGCTATGCAGCAGCGACGAGTGCCGCTTTACTATTCAGCTAAGACATAGATTGACACTTCGACCACATAAAAAATTTTGCGCGTCTCCTACAGAGCGCCATATCTAGCCTGAAAAAGCAGCTCAGGCATTCAAAAGGTATCTGATATTTAAGATATAGAAAAATCATATCAAAGAAAAGATGTGGTTGGGTCGGCCACATTAATGAGAAACGTCGACGACATTTAGACGAGAATTACTGCGTAGTGGACTCTCACAGGATGTATGTATCGTCCAGAATGAGGATCTATAAGAAGGGCATGCAGGGTTTAGGGCTTTCGCAAGCCAGCTGAATTTGCAACTGGAGAAGGTTTTACACATATAGTTCGCTTGGCGATTTCACCATGTTTGGAGCAGAGTAACAACAATATCACCACAGGGAAAAAATGAGCGAGAATAGCACGAATGGAAAATGCGCCTAGGACCAAATAGGGCCTAGAAAGGCAAGCCATCCAAGTATCGAAGAAAGCAATGCGAAATATGTGAATAAGTGATGGCCTTTCCAGTGCTTTCGTGCAAGCATCAATGTCCCTTGAGAATAAACGCTTGTTATTCGACTCGTTAGCGACGGAATTTCACAGCCGGTCCATGTTGATCACAAAGTACCAAACTGCATAGCCCAGTATAATGTAAATGGTATATTCGTGCCAGTTTGCACGGAAAAACGTCGAGTTCGGAAG